CTTTTGCGACTTTTTTCTATTTATCAGATACAGATCAACAAAGGATCACTTCGATGTACCACAGACTTTTACTTCAAGCTTTTAAATTATCATTATTTCGACATATGTATGCTTCGACATAGTAGACCACCCGGGATCTTCTAATTTTGAAGCGTAAATATAATGTCGACGCGTACAACCTTTCCAGATGTTTTTCCATTATGGGTGGAGTGGGGAGGATTCTGTGATCGTTTTTTCTGCAAAAATTTGCTTATTCGAGTTTTTGCAAATGTTTTGGCGCGATTAAAATAGAGACAGATGAATAAATATCACTCTGTGCAGCTGTTTTTCTCATTGTTAAAGCAGCTACATTCGTTAATTTAAATGAATCATAAAATGAAATAATAAACTAATAATTGTAGTTTTTACTTTAAAAAGAACTATTATTTTGTCTGAAATTTGGATGAAAATACTTATAAATTCGGGTATTGAAACATTCAATTCTATATCTTTAACCAGTATACAGCAGTAAACACAATGGAGTAATTTTATCACTCTATCATTACAAAAATACAACATTTTTTGTTGACTATTATTGTCAGTCCTCGAAAAAAATCTATGAAAAAATATTTTCATTTACGTAATAGGAAAATATTTGTACAGTACAATGACACATCGGTATGCAGAAAGAAAAAACGGTGTCTGGTTTTTTCCACCCCATTTACAATTGTTTTTTTGGGGGATTTTCAGTTAAGTTTTTTCCAATTATCCTTTTTTTATATTAAACAAACTCAAAAACATAAAAGACAAAAACACAACAAACTAATACGATGTGGAGTTTTTCTGTTTTATTCCATTAATATAAGAAGCAGTTGGATTTTTTACTTCTTCACAGTCAACACAATCTTTCCCATTTACAACTTTTTCATTCCATAAAACATTTCGAAAAAAAATGAATACCTGTTCATTTACACTGTCGTAAGTCACAGATTTTCTTTTACAACAGTTTTATACTATTTTATAAAGTGAATAATTTGTACTACAATTAAAACGTTATACTGCATGGTTGATGAGGAAAACATAACTGATGCAGATCAGTCATTTGATCTGCAAGTTTATACACTGTTATCGTCAGATAAAACAGATGATTTCAATTTGCAATTGATAACTGTCGGTGATAAAAAGTTCATATTTGATCGTGTTGAAAGTCTTCGTTTGCCTCACGATGATTCTGATGCTGTATCCTATCTATATCATTTGAAATTAACCGGTGAACCTGAACTTTGCAGTTCCATAACTGCATTCTCATTGCGTTTATCAACAGCTGGAAAAATGATAAAGCGGCATCATTAGGAAGTTGACAAAAATAAAATTCGCAAATGGTTTAATCCAGATACAGTCAAATATCAATTTCTTTTTTCTGTCGATTTCCAATCCAAAATGACCGCTAAATCACCCAGTCACGCTATTTTATCATGGAATCAATTATGGCAGTATACTTATTTTATTATTAAAAGAAATAATATAGAGTTTTACGATACATTTATCGATCAGTTTAGTGGAGAATGTAGTAACTTCGCACAAAAAGTCGATGTTGCTGACTTTTTCTATCAATGTTTTAAATACTTACCAGAAGTTGAAAAGGAAATTGAAGAGAATATCTATGTGAGTGTGATTCTTGTTCGTATGATTGGTTTATTACATTTTGATGAAAAAAACACATTAACTGAAAATGGAATTCGTTTTATTGATATATTATTGCAACGTATTTCAAATGAAATGGAAATTTTCTTTGGTAAAATGAAAAATACTGATTGGTTACTGGTCACAGATGGATTAACAAATTTATTATGGTTGAAGTTTCAATTCTATCATATTTCACCAGAAAATGATACTATTACTTTTCTTTCACGTGTACCTAATGCCGACCAAAAACAACAGCAGCAGATTGCTGATTTAATAGCAAAAAAATCTTTATCGTCCAATTTCATAATTCAACAACCAAATTGGTTGGATCTATTTACAATGACAACAGACGATGCACTAATAGTTGAATGTCTTCACTTAGCAACTACGTTTACCGATTATATCATGTATGCCGAAAGGTTATTAAATACAAAGACAGTACCAGATATACAAGAAAAAATAGCAAATAAATTACAACAATTGATAGAAGAAAATCATTTTGAAATAACACTTGAAAATATTCTACTGTTCTTTCAATCATTGCAAACAAATTGCACAGATGATCTATGCAATATAATAGAAAAATGTCAAGAATTACCATCTGTTATTGCAAATTATTTAAATAAAGTACGAATAAATGATATAAACCAATTGAATTCTATTCGACAAATATTAACTGAATATTATAATCCATTCTTGTTAGGTTCAATAATAAAAACGCAATACATTATCACTCTTCTCACAAGACATTCATTCACTAAATCAGGTGAATTAGGTACATTTTATACCAAATGGTTCAATTGTTTTCTTTGCGATCCATACCACGATAATACAAAGGAAGAAACTGAAATATTTCAATATTTGTTATCAGAATGGTTAAGACAAATTACATTAAATCGTGAAATATATTCGGATCTCATTAAGTCAATCGATATTTTAATTGAAATGTTAGAAAACACTGAGAATAAAAACAATGTTCCATCTTTGTGTGTCAACATTTTTTTACAAAGTATTTTAACATTATACTTTAATGGAAAACAAGATCTATTTAGACTGATAAATGAAATTGAAATAAATATTCGTAATAATAGATTTATTGAAGCATTCAAAATAAAATACAAAATTAATGTGGCTGAAAAAAATCAATTTATAATGAAGCAAATGAATAATATGCAGAATCCATTAATCCAACTTTTACAGAATGCAAAAAAATATCCAACTAGCCGATTAATACCCAATTTGATGGAAATATGCACTGATATTATAACGCTACGAAACAGCGAGATTTTTTTGGAATCCATATCTTCTCCAGATCGAGAGTCATTTCTTTCCCTTATATTATTTGAACCACATTTCAAAAATTTTAAAATACATCAGGCTGCATTAAATGAATTATTAGGTATATTTAGAAAATATGAAAATGGAATCACTTTTTGTGATATGATTTATTTAAACAAATATTCGAGCGATCAGAGGAAACAATTTGATAAAATATGACAGTATGTAGAACGAGTGCATAAAAAACAAACGTCAATGGGTTTATTATTCAGTGCTGCAAGCAGAGAGATGGAAGAGAAATTAAACATTAAGAAAAAGGTTCAGTTATGTTTAACTACATATTGCAGGGAAGCAGATGATTTTGATCAGCTTCAGATCTTAATTGATCAAACAACAAAACAACTAACAAGTGCTACAATAAAATCTGTTCAAATTCCAAATGAACTGACGCAAGTAATTCCCTTTGCTGGCGTTCTGAATCGGTACAGCACATCAGAGACATGGTACAATTATCGTAAAATTCATGAAGAAAATTACAATAATCAGAGTAAGTTTTTGCTAAGTCTTTGTATCTCACAAACTGTTCTAGAAGTTCCAGCACAACTGTTTTTGGTGAGAAGAGAAACACTAATATGTATTTCACAGCACTACGTCCATCGTATATGTATTCTTTACGCATATATTATAAAACAGGTAAGAATCCAGGAAGTAGACGAATTTGAACAAGAAACTCAATTTATAAAGTTACACAAAACAGTTTTCCAACAAAAAATTTTTCTAAACTTTCTACTACTTATTAACGGCGAGTTTGAATTAAGAATATAATTGTGCTTTTAGGATCATCAGAAATAATAGCAAGCAGAGAACCGTTAATCAATGAAGAGGATCACAATCAACGTATGCAACAAAAGCAGGAAGAGATCAAGTCATTACCTTCTGGTAAATTTACATCTAGTTTTATATTCTGTTTTCGACATGTGCCTTCCTACTTTAATTGTTAATATTTTTATCATGCAATACCTTTATATAGATGTATCGACAATGATGGATGATTCGCAACGACCGCCACAGCTTCAACAAACTTCATCACTCTCAGAGATTAATACAGAGAACTCATGCTTAGATATTCTTAAAAAAACAGAGACATTGTTTCAAAATTTTCAACAACATCTTCAGACCATTTCAGAGCAATGGAATACGACATCAGTGAAGACGATCATGAGCATGTTCAAAAATATTCAGTTAATTGATCAAGAAATGGATATACTGCGTCCGCTTTTACAAGTGGATTCAATCAAATATTTAACAGCTATTCTTAATTACAGCAAGAATAGAAAATATGTTAAAAAAACATGTAGAGGAATTCAAAATCTAGCAAAATTTCATAATCTGAGTGGTGATTATAGTTTGTTTCATACACTGATTGAAATGACATTGAAATCGAGTGGAAAAGATTGTTACGCGAGTTATCAGCAATTCACTGAGACGTACACAAGCAAACAGCCAGAAAATACATTTATAGTTTGTTCCCAATATTACGATTCATACGATCTTGTTAATTTCGTTAAAAAACTAAATCGAACCGATATGGACAATTTACTACAAGCCGTTAATGATTGGGATGAATCATTTATTAATACACAGACAGTTGTTGATTTCGTTCAATTAGGAAGATTTCTTGACAGTGTCGATAGCTATATTGCCACTAAACAACCACAAGTGATGCTCAATGATGTCTTACAACATATTACTACATTATTAAAACAAAAAGAATATTTAGATGTGGTCAATTGTTTTAAATCATGTGTAGCATCGTTATCGGGCATACAACGTCTTTATTTAGAATTAACTGATAAAGAGGAATCAAAACGAACAAAAATATTTAATATTGTTAATAATTCATCAATGCAATTTGTTTCTCCACAACAGCAACCACTGCGAATGAAATACGATATTTGTTTACAAATAGGAAGATTTCTTGACAGTGTCGATAGCTATATTGCCACTAAACAACCACAAGTGATGCTCAATGATGTCTTACAACATATTACTACATTATTAAAACAAAAAGAATATTTAGATGTGGTCAATTGTTTTAAATCATGTGTAGCATCGTTATCGGGCATACAACGTCTTTATTTAGAATTAACTGATAAAGAGGAATCAAAACGAACAAAAATATTTAATATTGTTAATAATTCATCAATGCAATTTGTTTCTCCACAACAGCAACCACTGCGAATGAAATACGATATTTGTTTACAAACACAAACAGGTGAAAAATTATATTATAATGATTTGAATGAATTACGTGATCGAGCAAGATTAATTGAATATTCTGGTAATGAAAAAATGGTTTTACAATTACAGCAACAACAATATACTAAAGAACAAGAAAAATTTTTTTTAAGATGTCTTGTAACATTAGTTGATACTATTGAAAATATGCTGAACAATATGAATCATTTGAACGTTATGGGATACCCTTTGATTGAACAGAATACAAAAAAACAATATACATGTACTAGTTGTGATTTCAAAGACATACAAACATTTCAAACACAATTGAAAGACATATTAAGGTTATGGGAAGAAAATATAATTCGTTTGTATCAGTCAAATCATGACTTGACGTACCTTTCTGGAAAACAATTCTGGATAATCGAAGATGCATTGCTAAATTATAAACAGTTAGAACCAAACCACCCAGGCTATCATTTATTGAGATATATTGGAATTGAAAAGTTATCGCCAATGAAGTTTAATATCGATAAGATTTGAAGCCTGAACAACGATTAGAAAATCTTGGAAAAATATTGAATCAACAACAAGTACGTAGCAAGAAATTATATTGGTTCTCTAAGCAAATGACCTCTGCTAGTATTCGAGATCAAAAAGTATTTATTGCTGAAACCTCAATTGAAGGACGGTATCGAGCAATTCTTTCATTATTTAAACAACACAGTACTGATTTTAAAATAAACCAGTTATTATTTTGTACAGCCGATACTAACTGGATGGAAATATGTGCATTTATCTATCGTTGTTTCTATTCATCTTCTATACTTCACCAATTAGTAGAACCAGAACGTTTGTCGTTCAATGTGCAAGATCAGTGCTGTCGGTTATTGAATGATTTAGTAGAACATAATCCAACTCAGCAATTTAAACTGGGTATCGTCACAACCGATAATCAAATTCATTTCATCAATGGAATCCGACGTATTGACAAAGTCGGAAATGTACGCGATGCAGAACTATTAAACGAAGATGAACTGAAAACTCTAATATCATCATTAGTCAAAAACTATTGTCTTGTATCATCGAGAATAACTGGACTTGGCAAAACAACATTTATTCAGAAACATGCACAAGCATCAAAACATATAGTGACAAAATTTCCAATCAGCGGAGATTTGAATATTAAGCAACTTGGTGAACGTTTATTACAACACAGTACATCAAATGCAATTCATTTTGATATTGGTTCAGTTGAAAATATCAACTTACTCAATTCAATACTTTTTTGTCTATGTTTATTTCGAAGTTATTGTTTTTCACAAACAATTATTTATTTACCTGTAGATACCTTGCTATATTTTGAACTTGAATCATCACCATTTTTTAATTTACAAAAAGATATTTATATATTTCGATGTTTAAATCTACATACATTAACTGAATTAAACATTAATGAAGTTGCTGTCAAAGATGAACGATTACAGTATGTTGTTCGGTATTTGTATGGAATTGAAAATAATGAAATTAAATCTAAAGATATAAAATTTATCGATCCCAAATTGATTAACGATCGAGTATGTAGCACATTAATCCAAAAATATTTCATTCGAGATAAAGATCAAAACTATCTCACATGGACGCAGTTGAAAATATTTATCAATGTATTTTACAATTTATTTAATGGTTTTTCAAATTGTGGATATTTTTTAGTTGAAGCATTAGAAGAGCCACAATTACGTATGGATATTATAAAAACATTTCTTCAATCATTAAGCCAGTTTACATCAATCTCTGTTAAATCTGTACGTGAAAAACAAGTAAATTTAACCAGTGTGGAACAGATTAATGACATACAGAGTACTTCTGTTATCCGGTGGGATAAAATACAACCATTTACCGTAGTTTTCACCCATTCTTATGATCCATTATTTGTTTATAAAACACCAAACGATGTTCCAAAATCACTCATACAATATTTTAATGCCTATTCAAAGAAAAATAGTGGATGGTTACCAAACGCAACAAATGATATATTTATGGATTACAATCGACTATCGCATACGGAGCTTTTCTATAAATTAACTTCATTATCAATAAAATATTGGAACAAAGCGATATGCGAACAATGTTTCCAACAACATCCTTATGAATCTTCTATATGTCTGTCATGCAAAGTACCACTCTTAAAACCGAAATCATTTGATGCTCCTGATATCAAACGGTTTCAAACGGAGGTTGCTCAAATACTTGAAAAAGAATATGTAATAACACCCGATAATTATATTAAAATGCTATTGATATGGTTAAGAATAACTAGTGACTTACCAGTGCTCATCATGGGTGAAACAGGTAAATTATTTACTCAAACTTAAGTTTTACCATATGGCAAAAATGCCCCCGTGAGAAGGATAAAAGTAAGGATCTAAAATATAAAAATCAGATTGCCTGTATAAAAATAAGGTTATCATAAAGTTTTGGTTAACCCCTGGTGCAATTTATGCGAAAAGTAATCACAAGTTATGATGGCACCACCTGTAATTATTCCAAAATTAACATCTTCAGGGGTTAACCAAAACTTTGTGATAACCTTATTTTTGTGGCAACCTGATTTTTATACTTTAAAGCTTTACTTTTACCCTTCTCATGAGGTCATTTTTGGCCATATGTTTTATATCAACTAAGCGATTTGAAAAGATAGGATATTTGCATAATCCAGTTGTCTTTTAAACAACATTTCTTTCTTTCTTTCTTTTAAATTTTCAGGTTGCGGAAAAACAGCGTTGATCAATTTTTTATGTCAGAAAATTTTAGACGATGAACTGTACGTATTTCATATACATGCTGGTGTGACAAGTACAAAAATAATTATTACAGTAAAAGATCAAATGGAAAGAGCTGCACAATTAGCACAGATTCAGAAACGTTTATGGTTTTTTTTTGATGAATTCAACACAACAAAAGATGTTGGTCTTATTAAAGAAATTATATGCGCACGAACATTGTTAGGTGAACAATTACCAAAAAATATGGTATTTTTAGGTGCATGTAATCCTCGTCGACGTAAAACGGAAAAAGTTCATTTTGATGATGATATTGGTATTAAAAAAGATCAATATGAAATACAGAAATCGAATTTAGGAGAACATTTATTGTATACGGTTGTACCAATTCCAGAAACAATGGTTGAATATGTTTACGATTATGGTTATCTTGATAACGTAACAGAATGTAAATATATTGAAACAATTCTTCAAACGTGTAAAAATTTAACAACTAACAAACAATTTTTCAATGCAATTGTATGTGGTATCTGTCAATCACAGATTTATTTAAGAAAGATTGAAGATGTATCAAGTGTCAGTCTTCGAGATGTTGCTCGCTATCGTTTGATATACAACTGGTATTATGATACATTTGACAAGCGTAATACTCGTATTGAATCGGCTGACAAAATATTAAATTCAGCAGTATTGTCATTAATGCTGTGTTACTATTTTCGTTTACGTTCGGATCCCGTAAAGCTGGAATATGTTAAGATGCTTAAAAATGCCATCGGATATAATCAAATAAACAATACTGTTATTGAAAATATACTGGAAAATGAGCAAAAAACATTAATTGACAGCATGAAAGAAAAACCAGTGGGAACTGCTGTGAATCGCGCATTACGAGACAATATATTTGTAATGTTTGTATGTATATTAAATCGAATTCCGGTCATATTGTGTGGTAAGCCCGGATGTAGTAAAACATTAGCAATACAAATTATTATTAGCAATTTAAAAGGAAAGAAATCTAATGATACATATTTTCAATCATTGCCAGAAGTGATAGCAGTCTCATATCAGGGAACAAAAAATTGTACATCTGAAAGTATCGAAAATGTATTTGAACGTGCGAAAAAATATAGCGATGCACGTACACAAACGGAACTCTTACCAGTGATCGTATTCGATGAAATCGGCTTAGCCGAATTATCACCACATAATCCTCTTAAAGTATTACATAACGAATTAGAAATTGAAAATTGTAAATATGGTTTTGTTGCCATATCCAACTGGCGATTGGATGCATCTAAAATGAACCGTACATTGTATCTGGCTTGCCCGGATACAATAATCGAAGATTTAAAATTAACAGCAAACACAATATACAAAAGCATAGTTGAACACCAATATATTCAGCTAGACGATGTTTTCATGGACGGGCTAGCACATGCATACCTTGAACTATGTTATGAATTGAAAAGACAAAAGAGTAATGAAAATTATTTTGGTCTTCGTGATTTCTATTCATTGATTAAAGGAGTTGTAAAGGAATTTGATCAAATGGCAAGACAGTCTCAAATGAATATTGGTGATAGTGTGATATTTCCCATAATTCGGAAACAGCTGAAAATTAATTTTGATGGTATTATCGATGGTTCTGAATATATGTGGAAACGTTTCTGTTGTTATACAAAACATGAAGAATTATTGGAAGAGTGCGAGTTACCGAGTTTTAAACAATTATTAGGTCAGTCGTTAAATGATCGTAGTGGTCGTTATCTTATGTTAATATCAGATTCCGATAGTTTCATTGATTATATTGAAAGATATTTAACAAGAACAACAGATAATGTTCGAACATTAATTGGTAGTCAAATAGCCGATGATCTGGATAATGAAACATACGATTATCGTGTACTCATGGATGTGATATTATATGCTGAAAAACCAATTACGCTGATTATGCGAAAAATGGATAAATGTTATTCATCATTGTACGACTTATATAATCAAAGTTTTTCCATATCGGGGCAAAAAAAATACTGTCGTATTGCTTTAGGTTTATTATATCATCCAAAATGCTTAATTAACGATAAATTCTATTGTATTGTTTTAGTTAATTCAAAAGATGTTGAAAAATCTGATCCACCATTTTTAAACCGATTCGAAAAACATACAGTCGATTTAAAAGATTTGGTAGAACCATTACATTGGACTACAACACAAAATTTATTATTGTGGTTAGAAGAATTGTTAACAATTAAAACAAGTGCAAAACATTTTGTTGTATTACAGCATCTATTTGTCAACTTTAGCTGTGATTACATTTGTAACCTTGTTATTGATTCGCTTGAATCAGGAATAAAAGAAGAAGACATAATGAATCACTGTAAGACACTGTTAATTCGTGTAGCAACCTCCGATTTACCATTATTATTGGCTTTGAAAAATGATAATGAAAACGAACAATTAATTGAACAGTACTATTCTATAAAATCACAATCCACTCTGGCTAATATGTTTGAAAATAGTACAACATTAATAAATCGGCAAGTAATTTATACTTATACACAGATTTACGATAATGTTAATTATCCGCCTACTAACCATATTAAAATCGATGAAGTTAAGTTTGCTAACTTCAAGTCAGAAATAGAATTAGTCAACAAATTGAAGCAACATTACCAATCCGAAACAACAACACAAACACATCTGTTGATAATTCGTGTCGATTGTTATAATGATCGTAATCATATACTATCTTTGAAACATAACATAATCAATATCCACAATGAATTTATTAAAAATATCAAAAAACATATATGGATTATATTTCATTTACAGCGAAATACGCTTAGCCAATTGAACAATGATGTTTTGTTTAATTCTTGGTCATGTACCATGATTGAAAATCTTAATGACGCTGAACAAAAACAAATTTTATCTTATGAAATATTTCAACAACCATCTTATCAATATCTGATACAACATACCTTATTTCATCCTAAATTTTATGATTTATTCGATGAATGTCTGTCAAAATTTCGATACAATATACCACAGACAACTGGCACAAATTTCATAAACACACGACGTAATACCCTATTATCGTATTTCAGTAATGATCAACATGACGAATTACGTACCATAATTATGAATAAAATAATTTATCTTATTCAACATATACATGATGAAAAACATTTTACTGATTGGCGAACAGATTTAATTACAAGTGCGACAATAGCAGCAACATCACGTTCATTCTATGATGCATTTCAGACAATAATTGCTAATTTTTATCATTCATATTTTCTACTATTATTTTCAAGTTTAGAAAAACAAGCGATAATTGACAGTTACCTAGTTATGACTGAAAAAGTTAAAGATAACAATAAAAAATTATTTTATATACAAATATGGTAAGTAAATTGTTACTGGTTTATTAAAAGATAACTCATGCTTTCAAGATGCCCTTTTCTATTATAGGGAGTATTGTATAGACACAATTGTAACTAATATTATTCAGAAAACACGTCAACTAAATACCAATGAATACATCGAAATCTCATTTGTATCCGAACTTCAATTTCCGTGTTCGTCAGCGGAATATGCAATTATTCGTAAGATTCACGAAAGTCTAGTGTATGAGAACGATTCAATAGTCACTGAAAATCATGCTTACATACAACTTAAACAGGCTAGTTTTTATAGAAATTATTTAGAAGATCTTATACTACCTGACGATTATTTATTTACCCAATACTATCGTGATCAACTATTAAGATTTCTGGATGAGTACAAAATTCAATTATCAATCGATTTTGTTCACCATCTCCTATGTGGGAGTAAAAAGCAACCTGTTGATCAAATTAAATATTATCTTGCAAATCCGAGTGAATTAAAAGATTTATTGCGAATATTTGAATATGGTTCGCTTCTTCTAAAAACAGATATAGAAAAAATCATTGTTAATATTGAAAATCCTATTAATTTTCCATTAACAACAAACGACTTATTTTATAAACTGATATTGAAAGATGATGCGATTTATCAAATTCCACCCAAAACAAGTGTGAACAAACTCGATGATGTTAATGAGAAGTTTATTTTCAATTGTGATGGTGACCCAATGATTGAAAATTGTTTAATGAATCTGATTGAAATAATTATTACACCTAAATATTTACAAAATATTGATAGTATCCAAAAAATTCTATTTATTTATGGTCGAATTAATCAAGAAATGCTGAAACTCAAACGATATACTGTCAGTAATTTAGAAAAGTTACAACCACTTATCAATCTGTTAAATTCTATTGTCGCACTATATAAAGATCCATTGTACATTTTCCAAAATGTGTTTAAAAATTATATTGCAACTAACAGTCTCAATACCTGTTTAGGTATTCATGACTTTGTTATCTATCTTAGAAGATTAAGTAATAATTTTAAAACAAATTTGGATGCAACTTTCACCAATAAAATTTTAATAAAACTAGAAATTGAATTATTGAAAAACTGGTTGCAAGATAACAGTGACAAATATGATTATGTATTACAAGTACTTAATCAACCTAATAATGATTTATGGAAATATTCAGCCAAAATTCTAACATATATAGAAAGAAATCTAGAATTGTTTGAAAATGTTGAAACAAATCATGGTCAAGTTGCAATTATAAATGAATTTGAACAGTTTGAACGAAGTTTGAAAAAGATCAACAGTATTCATCGAACAATGAAAATTGAGCGTCTAATCTCAAATCGTATTCATTTGTATTTAAAACAATTGGTGCAAAAAGAGCAAATTGAAAATACATTAAATGATAATTATGAATATTTTGAACAAAATTTAATACAACTACAAGATATCATCAATGAACAGCAGATTGAACAACATGTAAAATTAATTAGTTTAATTTCATGGCTGAAATATTATGCAGAGATGTATGCTTATTTATTGATAGTTAGTGAATCGCAGCATGAAATTATGCGACAAATCGATCGCTTACTATCAAATAATGACTCAGCAATAAGTTCATCAATAAAAATATTTATTATTAAACAGTCAATGTATTTTGCAAATATTTCATTTGATGGCATGAAGAAAATAGTATCAAATCGAAATATTGTATGGTTAAAACCAATTGTTATACAGCAAGATAACCAACAACAGGAACAAAATAATTTAATAATACCGACACCATTATTTGAATGTAAGCAAGAATATATTCAAGTTAACAAAATTTTTAAACAATTTCAACAAATCAATGATCTATAAAATTTTATTAATCGATCACAAACAGATCGTTGTATTGCCTTTAGTTTATATTTGTGGTTTATACGATATTATACACGCTACTATTTAGTGAAAAATGTATCGATTGATATCAGTTTTATACAAATGATTGAAAATCAACTTCAACATCAACTACTTCAAAGTTTTGAACCGATTGGTTATCATTTTATTTTACTGTTGTGCAGAAATTTTGATAATCAGTCATATTTTCAACTTAAAGCTGATATGACAGATAACGACGTTTACCTTCGTCTCACAGCGTTGAATATTTTTGCATTATTTCTGTCATCGAAATGTACTACTAATCTCACATTTATGAATAGTCTCTTATTTGATACAAATCGTAAAATGCCAAATAATTATTCACAACATCTAATGACAAGATGTTTATTAGGTTTAATACCAAATAATAACCATATCGTAACACAAATGAACCGCGTTAAACATGAAGTGCAACAGAGACTGAATAAGAGACAAATTGATGAGAAAGGAAAATTTATTTATCAATGTTCAAAAAATTGTTATTATATGTATTATTTTGAAGATTGTGGTATGCCAAATGATCGCTCTCGATGTCCATTGTGTAAAAACGAAATTGGTTCAAACCGTCGTGGTTCTCATCAGCTATTGCAAAGAGATCCACCGCAAATACAATTGCCAATAGCAAACGCTTTTCAGTTAATTGATCAATATATTGTTCAGTATAATCAAACGAACCGTTATGGATATTATGTTAATGCTGTTCAAGCAGATAATTCTATACTCAGTGAATCTTCAGATCATTTACCACCAGTAGCTTATCGGCTATTCCATATGTTCACTCATACGATAATGCTGATGCTATACGAAATGAAATATCTACAACAGCCAAAATCAAGTGGATTAACAATAAATTATTTTCGAGAACATTTTCAAAAAGATTATCAGTTGATTGGTAATATTATTGCTGAACATGATGAACATCAAATATGGCTCTGCAAAATTTTGAATCACTTAGCATCGAATGATGTTCATGTCAATGGTGTTTTAGATACAAATGTGAAAGTGATTGAATTTGAAAAGCGCCTTGAGCAAACTATCGTATTGCCGCATATTCAATCAGTTCCGAATGAAATAAAACAGTATCGACTAGCTTATAGTGAATTTATACGAGAAAATCATGCTGAACCGCCTTTTTATGATTATATTAATGAACTAGTGGAAAATGAACAACGATATCCATTATTAAATTTTTTAACTGTGACAAGAAGCACTAACAATATTGTTAATGAATTTCATACGAAGTTTTATTTACTACGGTACGAAGAATTATATCCAATAACAGATTATGTTTTGAAACATTTACTGGAAATCGAACAAATCCAATTTATTTATCCAATTGTGAATTTCACAAACTATTTGTTACAAAAATATAATCATCGTATTCTATGAAATGAAGCATCAACGAACGAAATTGATTATTATATAACAAATGATAATGATGATAAAACAATACGAGTGTTATTTGAACAATTTCGTCAGGCATGGTATCAACTGAAACTGAGTGAAGCACAATTCAATTGCGCATTAGTGAAACTTGATCGTATCCAACCAATGCAACAGTTTGCAAAACTAACAAAACTTGCATATTTTTTATTAAATACATCGAAAGATAACAGTAGTTTATCAATACTCGCTTGCTTGCAAACATTAGCTAAACTACAAAATAATCTTATAAATTACTATAAGCAGGTGACAAATCCGCATTCGTTAAACAATGACAATGAAACACAACAACTAGCCATTCCTATTCAGAAATTGAAACAAGAACACCTGTTAGTTCTAAATACTGACACGATCGATCATATATTGAATAACGAAAATGGTTTTATTATTAATTATGAGTATGGTAAAACAAAAGAAATCATCTTTGATTATGATGAAATTGAAACAAAATTACGTAACAGAATCAGTCGTATCCGTTCAATTGATATAAATAAATTTGATTATTTTAATTATCAGTTTGAATTATACAATCAAGATGTCTCATTATTTACAGATATAAGACGAAATATAAAACAAGAACTGTTGCCAAATGATGATAAAATAAAATATCGACAATTTTTAATGAATACAAAGCCGGATGATATTCGAAAATTTTTGGGTTCATTGGACTATGTATTTACATATCTTCGAAATTCATCCGACCAACCCAGAACATTGACAATTCGAAATTTTGTTCAAAAAGCTATCCAAAATAAAGACCATCTACATCCATTCATCTCTAATCAACAACAACCATTTGCAAATTTACAACTAAAATTTGTTATCAATCTTTACGAAGTAATCGAGGAATTAGTATTTGATGAAATAATGAAAAATTATGTTAAACAAGAATTAAGCGTAGAAGCATGTTCAAGCGATGAGGAAAAATCGAATATCATTGAACAGTTTATTCGATCAACATATATGTTAGAAAATATGCCACAACCAATGAAAAATCCAAATGTATGGATGTCTGTTTTGAAACGGCTTATTATACCTGTTGTCACATCAAATATTGATTTAACTATACCATTGCAAATTTATATTGAACGAACAGATTTATGGAATGAAGACTTGATTGAATACTTGGATTATATTACTATTCAACCAAATATTTTATTACGTCATACTTATATTATTCTAAACGGTATCGAAACAAAATTAGCAGCGATACAGAATAAGACAATTGTTGTTAACGAACAAAAATATATTCGAGATTGGTGTCAGACCAAAAATGAAAAATTTCATGCTTCTGCTACTGCGACTACTGCAACTACTACAGCTGCAGGAGCAACTACCACTACTAACAATAGGGCTCCTTCTAAAACGAAGAAACCTAGCAAACTTCGTGTAGATTGAGTGAACTTATGCTTTCAGACATTTTTTTGCTTTTATTTTCTTTAAGCGTTTTTCTTTTTTCTTTTAATCACAAATAAATTTCTCGTTTTGATTACATTCGACGTTTTTCGATCAATATTCTGTTGATGGTATCATTAGAAAATTAGGTACTTTTGCCGCGCAGCACCACATTAGATAAAAATTGGGCGCTAGGTGCAAAATTTTTCGGTGAATCCGACAGCGGGTTCCTTATAATTATACTTTGACATCTTTTCTGGCG